CCCCAAAACCCCAAAACCCCAAAACCCCATAAAGGAGAAGATATTTGAAACATAAATAGACTTAATAATAATTCCCAATGGACTTTTGTTTCTCAAGTTCCCAAGCAAGCCTGTTTAAAGACTCTCCTCCTCTGCTCCAGAATGTAAGCCCTCTTGGTGTGACTGTTAGTTTACTAAGGGAAAATTTAAGATTTAGTTTTTATCAATAACTGATGTCGCATCAATTTTTTTGATTTACCAGATCTTTGCTTGATTTCAAGTTTTATTAATAATTATGGTTTAGAAAGCCAATGTTCAAGGTAATGAAGATCAAATTTCAAATTACTTGAGCCCTTCTGATGAATCTTTGCAGTTAACTTCGCCTGCTCTGTTTAATCAATTTATGAATGATAAGAACGAGCTTGATTATACCATTTCCTCAAGATACTATTTTTCCATGGCTTATTTAGAGCAATTTCTTGCCAAGAATCTGAACTGGAACACCAAGTTCAAGAATTTCGACCAGCCACTGAAAACTTAAATTTAGCAGCCAGAAAGAAGTCTGCTCCAATAAACTGCCAGATGCCAGACATCCCCAACAGGGAAATGTTGAGGCTTATTAAGAAGTTCTTCAACGAGTTGTTTCTGTTCCATAACGATAAAGTTAGAAACAGACGACTCATCACTGTTCACTCCTCTGTTACTTTGGAAGCTCTCAGGCAGTTGGTCAGAGTGTACATGCCAGATGTTTCAGCAGAGTTTATGGCTGAGTTTCTGTTTAAGTTCTTGAACATACATTCAAAAGATTCATGTCAGTTGGAGTCGGATGCTGCAGAGCAAGGATTCAGAGTGTTTCAATGCTCGCACAGTTACAAAAGGCAAGAATTTATATGTCTACCTGAATGTGAGTATTTCAGACATCTGATTATATCTTACATGAACATTAAGAACACTCCTTTATTGTCTGTGCTGAGTCTTAGGTTAGACTATGTCTGGGAGAACCAATTCCATACATCTGAAGCAAAGCTGGCTAAAATTCTGAACAAGTCATTGTACAAGAAAGAAGAAGCCCTGGTTGAAGAGAGCCTGCAATGAACATATGAAGAGTAATCGCAAACGAAAGAAGTTAGAATCTGTTAATATTAGTTTTCGTCAATAAAATTTTCAAGACAATAATTCTTGGGCTTTATTTTAAATTTGAGCTCCAAGCCTCCTTAAGTTTTAAGCCAGATACTTCAGATGTATCTATTTGTCTGAAGCAAGAAAGTTCATAAAGTATGAAGATTCTTTGATATATGACAATCTGCTTGACATATCTCTAAAATTTTGACTTTTGGGGAGGCAAAATTATTTATTAAAAATTGTACATTTTCTGTTGCTCTCAATGAGTTAATTATTCAATACTGAGGATAAAAGAATTTGCTCAAGTTTACTTAAATTTTAGTTTTATTTTAACAATTCACTAATTTTAGGAGTTATTAGTAAGATTTGTTTGCGATCATTATGACCATCTTTTCTCATAGACTTAAAACTCTGCAATCATCCCAATTATTATGGGGGTCAATAGCAAAACAGATAATTGGTGCTTACTGGGTAAATATTTTCATACAGTTATTTTACAATACTCATTGAAGGAGGTTTCTTAATTAACTGCACCTTTTACATAAAATTATTCTTATTTGTCCGCTCTGAAAATGACATTTCTGGACCTCCTCTAGACTTTTACTATTTTATGCGTATCGGACTTCAAAATCGCCTTATTTCAAAGATGAGTCATTAGGTTGACTTTTAAATGCAAAATCTTTCTTAATTTTCGACAATCAAATGTAGAACTCCGAGGCAGCTAATTATGTTCTGGTAACTGTCAAAGAGACAGTCCGCTGTTTGTTCTCTGGACAGCTTATTTCTTACTGAATCTGATGTATTCCACCAGCCTTTCACCGAAGGGCTTGATAGTTCATAAACTCAATCGTATAATTGAATAGATGCAAAGCTCCACTCTTAATTACAATTTCTCCAGCAGAGGTCTTTAATGTTATATACAATCATAGAATTATAGAAGAACATTTACTGTTGAAAGCTGACCTTCTCTAACTAATTAAGTTTTATTTGTCAAGAGTAAATTATAAGTGGAAAGATTAATGCCCTAATGCACCTCTTTAAGTTTGATTTATCCTATTATTACGAGACATGACCCATTAAATATGGTTGACCATCCTATCTATCGAGAAAGACAACAAGTGTTACTGAAAAGACATTATTGGAATGTGGCAAAGGTGCACTTAATTTTAACAAACTGAACTTATCCTTATACTCCAAAAGCAAAAGATATTATTGTTTTCTGCCTTTGACAAAGATCGAACATGACAGGATCTGTTTGAATAGGCAAACCTGGATGCTCTTTTACAGCCAAGTAAGAAGGCTTCCAATATTATGTTCTTAAATTACTGTACAGATTCTGTACTGAAGACGCTGATGAGAGCAAGATCAGACCAATGACTCATAAAGATATTGTAGAGTCTTATAGAACTTTAAACAATGTTCACAATATGTCTAACAAAGCATCTTGTTTGCACTTGAATAGATCTGACTTAATTTTGACATCCAAGAGAACACTTTAGTAACATTTTTATGCAAACCAGGTGAAATAACTCTTTGTATTATCTATTATTCCCTAGTTTAGTTATTAATCTTATTTCAGCATGCCACTGACTATCTGAAAAGTTAAGCAAGAATGATCCAGTCTTGACATAGCATTGCTCCAGATATTTAATTAAGCTGTATTCGTTTCTATTTATTGAATAAACCATGGGGTTTTGGGGTTTTGGGGTTTTGGGG